GGTCAGGCAGCACACACCGATAACAGTCACCCTCAGCACTAACAGACAAAGCATACATAGCAGAAATGATAACATCATAGTCTAGGTCAACGATGGCAACTCCAGACCTAAGCAGCTTTGCCCAGTGGGGGCGCTCGACCTCGTCACCAAACTCATCGCGCCAAGCGTCGTCGAGGCGGGAGAAGCAGCGGTCCTGAGTGTGAGGCTTCCCGCATGTCTGACCAGCACGGTCACCCGTGCGAATGACATACGGGCAGCTAACACAACCCCCGGAAGCCTCACGCTAAAACAACCACTCACGAAGTTGCTGGGGCGACAGGGTCTCGCTCTGACGCTGCTGCTGCTGCCTCTGGCCTCCTCGAGAACCTCCACGCTGAGCTCCAGTCCTACCGCCACCACTCCCACCGCTGCCACTACCGCCACTCCCACCGCTGCCTCCACCGTCGCTACCAAAGCCCCCACTCCCGCCACCACTCCCACTGCTGCCACCACCTCCACTGCCTCCACCACCTCCACCGCTCTCCCCACCACCACCCCCGCTGCCACCGCCACCACCCCTGCCACCCTTGCCCTTGCTGCTACGGCGCTTCGCACTAGCAGAAGCAGCCCCGACGTCCTCAACACTAGGGACGTCGTCAGCAGCAGCAGAGGCGTAGGAGGGGGCAAGGGGGGAGGGGGAGCACCCCTCAAAGAAGGGCGTGCGCGGAGTGCCACGAGCAGCACCTACAGCGACTACACTAGTCTCAGCTGCAAGGAGGTGTTGCTCGAGAAGGTCAACAGTGAGGGCTGTGGGGTCAAGTGCAAGAAAGTGGTCCCTGACAGCGCGAAGAGAGTCGGGGAGGTGGGTGACTATGAAGTAAAGAGTGATGTACATCGGGGGTGGGTTCTTGGCAAGGAACTCTACTGGGAGGGCAGCGCGGTAGTGAGCGTTGCTAGTGCGAAGGTGGGAAACCAGGTCCGCTACTGTGGCAAAGGCGGACAGCTCGGGGAACAGGTAGGGCAGTAGGAGGCGGCCTAGAGCAGCAGTGGCAAGTGAAGAGTAGCGAGCGACTACAGCGTCGTACAGTGCATGTGTTGTCCTGTGCTGTCCGAAGAGAGCGCATTTGGCCAACGGCAGATGGTTGCGAATGGCTAAACGGGCAGCAACGTCACGAGTAAGCCACTGTGAGTGGGTCGCACTGTCAGCTGTGGTAGGAGGGGCGGGAGCGGTGCCAGGCGTGTGGTCAAACAACGAAACACTGTCCCTAGAGTCGCTTAGTAGGTACAGCTGCAGGTCGTCGAGCCACGTGTCAAACTGTAGGGGGCGACCCTCATGATCGAACCCTAGCACGCGGAGAGAAGCCATAGTGGCGCAGCACGCAGAGCGAGGAGAAGCAGGGCAGCGCAGAGTACAGGGCAGATAGTAGCAAGGGGCAGTGAGAGGGCCGCGAGGGGCGGCTAGCAGTCTGCAAAGTTCGGCTCGTGGGCCTAGGGGCGGCGGGCGGCTCGCAAGAGGCGGCTCGCGGGCTGCAGGTGGCTAGGGGCGGGCCGCAAGGGGCGGCGCGCGGAGCCTTGGGTGGACGGGCGGGCCGGGCCTAGGGTCGACGGGAGGGCCGGGCCTAGGGTCGACGGGGCGCGGGCCGGGGCCTAGGGTCGACGGGGCGCGGGCCGGGGCCTAGGGTCGACGGGGCGCGAGGGCCTGGGGTCGACGGGGCGGGCCGGGGCTAGTGTCGACGGGGCGCGGGTCGGGGCCTAGGGTCGACGGGGCGCTGTGGCCTAGGGTCGACGGGTCGGGCCGGGGCTAGGGTTGACGGGGCGCGGGCCGGGGCTTAGGGTCGACGGGGCGCCTAGGCCTAGGGTCAACGGGGCGGCCGGGGCTAGGGTCGACGGGGCGCGGGCCGGAGCCTAGGGTCGACGAGGCGCCGGGGCCTAGGGTCGACGGGGCGGGCCGGGGCTAGGGTCGACGGGGCGCGGGCCGGGGCCTAGGGTCGACGGGGCGCCGGGGCCTAGGGTCGACGAGGCGGGCCGGGGCTAGGGTCGACGGGGCGCGGGCCGGAGCCTAAGGTCGACGGGGCGCCAGGGCCTAGGGTCGACGGGGCGGGCCGGGGCTAGGGTCGACGGGGCGCGGGCCGGGGCCTAGGATCGACGGGGCGGGCCGAGGCTAGGGTCGACGGGGCGCGGGCCGGGTCCTAGGGTCAACGGGGCGCACTGGGCCAGGGGTCGACGGGGCGCGACGGGGCCTAGGGTCGACGGGGCGGGTCCGGGGCCTAAGGTCGACAGGGCGCGCGCGGGCCTAGGGTCGACGGGGCGCGCAGGCCTAGGGTCGACGGGGCGCGCGGGCCTAGGGTCGACGGGGCGACGGGGTCTAGGGTCGACAGACAGGGCCGCAAAAGGGCGGCGCGCGGGGCAGCAGGAGCGACACGAGGGTCGCTAGGGGCAGCAGGGCGGCTAGTGGGGCAGCGCTGTGGTGGGCCCAAGAAATTGGTCCTAACGAAGGACCTGCTCTGAAACCATGTCAAACTAACGAACAAGAATGAATGCATTGAGCAGAAGTTGGGTACAAGTACTAACCCTAATTGGGTTGTACCCCTTATGGGCTACCCCACTATAGCCTACACAAATGTAAGCACTATAACATTCTGATAGTTTCACTATAGAGAGTGAAGTACAAATAGGGGAGGAAATGGGGTACACCACCAAGCAGGAAATTAGGATAACTACACTATAGCTAGAACTACATGCAGTTATAACAATATAATTCTGACATCCCCCCTTAACTGCATGCAGGAATAGCCAAGTGCAAGACACAACCTGCAGGGGTACACCAAGCAGAACAAATCAGCAACACGCAAGAGCAGTGACAACTAGTACAGTAGTGGCAGATACAGCTGCAGTAAGCCCTGAGGCAAGAGAGAAACAGACAACAGTAGATGCATGTGGCGCAGGTAGCCTGGAGAGCAGGTGCGTGCGGCGAGAAAGGGTAGCGGCAACGCAGGGCTCAACGGCAGCACCTGCCGCTCAACAGCAGCAGAGAGAGACGAGACAAACGAAGGTGGCGACAGGGGCTGCAGCAGGAGGTGCCACGGTAGCAGAGGGCGGCAGTTGCATATGCGTGGCTGCTTCGTCCGCCACTCTCTCTTACCCTCCCCCCCACAACTGCACGTTCGACAGTTAGAGAGATAGGAGGGGCGGCTGCTGGCTTGACAACATCTCGCTCACCACCCCCTCACTGCATCTCCTCCCACAGCCCGCCACCCACTCATCTCCCCCCCCCCCCCACTATAGAAGGTGCTGGCGCCAGCGACGTGCGTGGCGCTGAGTTCACGACCAGCGGCGGGGCGAAGGGGCAGCGCACGGGACGGGGCGAGCAGGTGCAGCAGGCGCGATAGGACGGGACAGGCGGGCGCTTCGGGCACGACGCGACGGGACGGGCAGGCGCGAATGGCGCGACGGGACGGGGCGAGCAGGTGCAGCAGGCGCGATAGGACGGGACGGGCGGGCGCTTCGGGCACGACGCGACGGGACGGGCAGGCGCCAATGGCGCGACGGGACGGGACGGGCAGGCGCTGCGGGGGCGACGGGACGGGACGCATGGCAAAACAGGCCGCGCGCATGTGGGTCCATATCTCTTAAAATTACAGGAAGGTTCCAGGATGGAACCAGCTCTGAAACCATGTCATAATAGTAGCTAGAGAGTGAGACCAGGAGCCATCCTAAGGTTTAGGCTAGGCATGACAAAACGGAAGGTTGCTAGTTCTAATATTTCTGCACGTCTTTTGAACATTCTTCAGATTGCATGAAGTAACAGTTACATTCATACTTACCACAACCTGTAGAAAATATTGAATGTAGTCATGCAAAACGTTTTTTTATTGTTTACATGTGAATGACATATTATAATAAAACATAACATAACTCAATCACTCCACTTTTCTGGATAATTTGTGTACTTTGTGTATGTATATATTATGATAAAAAAGCTACATTTTTTTTTCAGATATTCAAAAGTTCATATACATTACATATTTTTCGTTCATGTAGTTTCTTCGCAACCCTAAGACGATTTCGCCGCCTCTTGTTTAAATTCCGAGAATACGGGTAGCTGCCAATAGAAGGAATTGCATCTCTCGTTTCTATAATGGGAGATAGACGAGGTCACGGAGACCTGACACTCTCTGCAGTCCATGTACGATTAAATATGCTATATGTAATATTGTTTTAAGCTATTATAACACTCACCCTCATATTTCTAACCCCCAACTTATGCTATACCCTCTGGCAGTTATATTGGAATCAAAAGTTCAGAACATCAGGGTGTACAGCCTATTCCTACTTTCACAGTTCCACCTGTCTGCGATAAACATGAATTCGGTGGTAACTCTCGCAACAGCTGACTCCACGTCGCTTCGCCACAACCACCTGTTACCTCCTCGAAGCATCACCAGAACCTTCCGTCCTAAGTCCGCGGTGACGTGTCAGGCGCCATGTGCGCGAATTTAGGCCGCGCCATAGTACTACTCAGGCGCACAGGCGGTAATTTAAGGGGAAGAGTCCAGCGCGGCTTCCGGATGCGAGCAGCCAGTAGTGGACCTAGAGGCTCCTACGCGGAAACTGTTGGCTGTGGATGTTAGTAGGATAAGTAATCTTCCCAGTCTTGTCGTTGTCGGTGGTTGTCCGTTGTTGCAAACGATAATCGGGCTACAAGAACGAAAGCCCTCGCAAGGTCCAGCATATGTTGCTGCGAGAAGAAGCTTCGCCATGCGAAGTCGCTTAGACACGATGTTGGATTTCGCCTAGTCCGGTAACCACCCTCTCCACTCTCCACGTCATCGTTGGTAGCTCCTCATGATCCCCAGAATCGGCGTCGCCAGCTATTCCCGTTCAACCCTCACGGCCTCGGGTATCTTCTCTTATGCACTCTTTCAGTTCGCAGCCACGGGGATTGTAGCCCCTAGGGCAATCCCGCAAAGCACCTGACGACGTCGCAGACCCCCTTCTGACGTCGCGAGCGATCAGGCATCATGGTACGACGGTCGCACGGCGACGCGTACGCGCTGCTGGGAGTGTCGCACGACGCGTCGCTGGCGCAAGTGAAGGCCGCCTACCGTCGCCTGGCGCTCAAACTGTAAGACGACGCCACTCAAGCTGCGAGAGAAGCTGCGGGGGGGCTGAAAAAGAGGGAGGTTGGGTGAGCAACATAAATCGAACGAGGAAAAAAAGGATGACCTAACAGAAACTGGGTTCCTTCCAAGAGAAGAAGGAAGGGGAGGGGGGGGCTGGGGGAGGGGGGGTGGAAGGGGGGAGGAATATTGGGGGATGGGAGAGTGGGATGGGATGTATACCCTTTATTTCGTATCAGACTTCCCTGTTTCATTTGACATATGGTACATGTTCCCTTATGCATCCATGCCATGTATAAAAAAGGCATCGAATGGTTGCTGTGATTGCTATAAGCCTATAACAACATTTCTCTGCATCTTCGCTTAAATCTCCTTCTTCCACCACCTCAGCCACCCAGATGTAAACACTACGGGTGATGCAGACGCCTTTCGGCGAATCACAGAAGCCTACAACTACCTCCTCCACACCCCCCCGCATCACCACACTCACTCCCACTACCCTCACGCTCGCTCCCACCGCAACTTCCGCCACGGGCCTTTCTCCACCTCCTTCACCTCATCGAATCCGGTTTCTACACCTGGCAGCAGGCGTTTGCCTGCCCTGATATGCGGCATCGGGCTGGCCCTGGGCTGCCTCCTGTTCCCAGCTGTGCTTATAATGAGTAAAATGGATCATTTCAACCGATTTTATCACTATCCTAGTCGGGAGGAGGAAGCGAAATGCAGGAAGGGGGATGAAGAGAAGGATGGAGAGGAAAGAAGTAGTGGCTCTTTGTCAAACCATAGACAGAGTAGCAGGACTAGAGGAACCAGCAGTGGTACCAGCAGCAGTGTTGGTGGTGGGAGTGGGAGTGGGAGCGGGGTACCTTCCCTGGACGGGCTTGGATTCGGCAGGGGACCAATAGGAGCAGCGATCAGCCACGCCCTAACAAGCAACAGTAGCAGAACATCTGAGATTCAGGAAGAGAGAATCCAAAGAGAGAGTGGTAGCGATGGCAGTGCTGGCAGTAGTGACAGGAGAAGCAGTAGCAGCTGGTGGAGTAGCATGGGGGGTGGCAGCAGAGGAGGGCCGAGGGGGCCAAGCCGAGTGGTGGAGCCGACTGCTGATGAGGAGAAGCGGCAAAGGATTGCGAGAATACTGCTGGAGCGAGCTCGGAAGGCGCAGGAGGATGGGGCTGAGGAAGAGGTAAGGTGAGATGGTTGGGGGGTTATATGGGGAGAGGAGATTGTGAGGTGCGTGTGGTAGGAATTGGAGGAAGGTGGCATGGCAATTCTCCACTGGGAAACTGGCATGGTGTCCAACAAATGGTTGCATTGTTTGCAGATAGTTGAGGCAATGATGTGCATTAACCTTCATTGTAATTCATCCCTGATTTGATGAATGCATGCAATGTGTATTCTGCGTGATCTCATCCTCCACATTGGCAGGTATCATCTCACACACTTATCACTGCTGAACGCAAATGCTTTTACAAGCGAGCTGCATGCGTGAGCTCGACAAGTTTCCTAACGAAGGATACAAGTTTGGTGGGGAGGCACTCAATTTCGAGGGCTCCATCGTAGCCGCCCGTTTCCAACCATTCGTTCGAGGATCTCCAATCTTCTTCGGGCTTTTCGCCTAGCAGCAACATGTTGTGTGGCTGGGAGAACTAATCCAACCAGTACCAGACGTAATACGGGTTTGAGCGGTTAGTCTAGACATCAAAAGGTTGGGTCCGGTGCTTTACCAAAAAATAATTCGTGGGGTGTGTCATGCAATACTGGCGAAGAACCTTCTTCAGGGAGGGCTTTCAGTCATTCTTCAAGTTTGCTCCAGGCAAAGTGGAAGCTGTTTGCGCAGGCAGTGAGGCAATGGGACTTGTTGCTGAACTGGGTCGCGGCCATACCAACTTTCGAGAATAAATTCCTCGCACCGGCTTCTTCTTGCCGGAACCGCATTCGCTTTGGATCCAATCCAGGCTGTACTGTGTAGTTTGATCCATTTCGCCGGCGTGCCTTAGTAGAATCTGAAAAGCTTGCGGTGCAGTTGAAACTTGACAAAACAACGAGATACAAATGAGTGCACCGGTAGTGATTTTCGCTGCTCGCCAAACACGATGGTGTGAATTCGAGTGATCTGATTCGTCAGTTTAGGTGCGAGCGAGCGCGTCGTAGCGTTTTATGTTCGAGTGTATACTGTTGCCCAGTTACTGATAGATTCTCGGGTAGCGTTTTTCAGTAAGTATTCTCCGAATCGCTTCACCCTGCGAGACTTTTGAGTCACTTTTGTGCGCCGAACCGCAAGATCACAAAAGGCCTGAAGGTTCAAACCTTCTCCTGATTCCTTACTCGAAGCTTCGGACTGCTTGTTCCGCTTGAACCCGCGCGTTCCTCAAGTTCGCCTGAGACCCTACCCATAGCCTACATACTATCCGTTGCGATAGTCCCATTGTTAGGTTACCTTGATTCGAAGCCCACACTTATTGACTACACGGCATGTTCCCCTCTCGAGTTCTTCTTGCAAACTTCTAATTTAGCAATTCCATTACGTATTTGATATATCAATTCCAACATGTATCGAGGTCTCGGCGGGTTCGCGCCGTCAACGGCGGCCGTCGCGGAGTCGTTTTCCGCCGCGTTCCAGTGCGCGTCAGATTCACCGGATCTGGACACGGAGGGTGGGCCCGTGCGAATCGAAGGAGCGAGGGTTCTGGGTCCGCTGGACGACTATATCGAACCTGACAATAACGAGCACGCGGAGCTGGAACCTCGGGATGGCCACGAACCGCAGCAGCTGTCGCAGGACGAAGTTCCACGTCAGCAGACGCGTAAGGGTGCTGTCGGCAGCCGTTTTTTCGGGCAGCAGAAAAGTTCAGTGGCGGATAGTAGCGCAGTGGGAAAAGGGAGGACTCCAACTCACGATTTCCGTGCGGGACCAAGCGTTGGGCAAGACGCCAGTATGCCGTCAGATCGTGTGCGATCTGTAAATGGGATGCTTACTAACGGGAGTGCTAGTAACGGGAAAGCAGGCAACGGCGCTCGCAGTAACAGCACAGAGCCTGTGGCGATTCCCAGACGAACCCTCAAGATCAAGCCGCTTCATCAGCTGACGAAACCGGTCCTGCAGCCCGACCGTGCTGCCGCTGGTGGTGCTGGTGGTGCTGGTGGTGGTGCGGGTGCTGGTGAGGAGGGGAATGAAGGCGATGAAAAAATAAAGGGACCAGGAGGCTCGTCCGCGTTAGTGTCGCCTCCGCTTCCGTCCATTGACTCGTTCGCGCACACTCGCCGCCTGCAGAGCCTGTCGAGCTTCAAGCCACGGTCTCGCCTGCTTGGGCGGCAGTCGCAAGGGGAGGAGGTAGGGGAGAAGGGAGGCGTTACTGCCACTGCTGCTGGTGCTCCTGGTACTGCTGGTGTTGCTGCCACTGGTGGTGCTGGTAACCCGTCAAGTAACAGCAGCACTGTGTCGTTCTCTAGCCGAGCGTCCCAGCTGCAGCAGCGGCAGCAGCCGCTTGTAATGAGGCCCTTCCGTGTTCCCAGGCGGCTGAACGCGAACGCAGCGGAGTTAAGCACTCGTGAGGATACGTCGTGTACGACTGCTGCTACTGGAGCGTCCAGTAACGGGGATGGCGTGCGGGGAGGGCCCCTGGGCGGCAGGGTAGCGGGTGAAGGGGAAGGTGTAGCTAGGGACGGGTTTCGCAGGCTGCAGAGAGGTGGGCGGGGAGGCTTGGCCGGTAGTGCGACCGCCGCCGCCCCTGGGGTGGGTCTGATGGGGAGTGATCAGGTGGAGGATGAGATAGAGGGGTTTAGTGTTGGGGAAAGAGAGGGGGGAAGAGATGGAGAGGGTTTTGGGCGTGGGGGGATGCTGGCAGAGTCGTCTCGTGGAGGAGGGATGGAGGTGGGAAGAGAGGGTGATGGGGGAATGCAGGGGAAGAGGAAGAGGCGGAAGATCGTTCTAGTGGGTAGTGATGGCAGTGATGGGGATTATGAAGAGGATGTGGAGGAGGAAGAGGAGTGGGGAGAGGGGAAGCGGATCTCGCCATTGAAACGAGGGGATGATGATGCAGGAAGGGGCGCTGCTGCAGCAGCCACTTTCAATGCGAGGAGGTTCTTTGGAATCAGGCAGCCCGGGGACGGCCCCACCCAAGGGGGTCCGCAGGTGGGCCTCGGCAGCAGCGCGGCCGTGCAGAGGGTGGAGAGGGAGGAGCTGCGCGCGCGCCTGCTGGCGCTGCACGCCCCCAGCAAGGGCTGGCGCTCTGCTAGAGACCTGGGGGCGGTTGAGGAGCAGGGGAAGGGGACGGGAAAGGGGAAGGGGGTGGGGAAGGGGAAGGAGAAGGGGAAGGGAAAGGGGAAGGGGAAGAAGGGAGGGAAGAAATCGGGGAAGGATCGGTGGGAGGAGGAGCATGAGGAGGAGGATGAGGAGGAGGATTGGATTGTTGAGGATGATATAGACGAGGAGATAGAGGAGGAGATCGAGGAGTTGGAGGGTTTAGAGTTGGAAGAGGAGGAGGAGGATGAGGATGATGAAGAGGTGTTTGGTAGGAGGGGAAGGAGGGTCACGAAAGGGAAGCAGAAGAAGGATGAGTGGGTGAGGAGGTCGGGGCGGGCTAGAAGGCCGGCTAGGTATGCCCAGAGCGAGGAGTGGGAGGGGGAGGAGGAGTGGGGAGAAGGGGGGGAGGATGTTGGGGGTGGAGGAGGAGGAGGAGGAGGAGGAGGAGGAGGAGGAGGAGGAGGAGGAGGAGGAGGAGGAGGAGGAGGAGGAGGAGGAGGCGGAGGAGGCGGAGGAGGAAGAGGGGGCGGAGGTGGAGGAGGAGGGGGGGAAGGGGAAGAGGAGGAGGTGGTGGTGACGAGGAGGAGTGTGCGAGCAGCAGGCAGGGCGGCTGTGCGAGGGAGGAGGTCACTGGAGGAATGGGAGGAGGAGGAGGAGGCGGAGGAGGATGAAGATGAGGAGGAGGAAGAGGAGGAGGGAGGGGAGGGGGGGAGGGAGTATAGAGAGAAAAAGGAGCAGGAGAGTGATCCTGTGCTGGAAGCTCTGAGGAAATCCGAGCAGATCGCTGCAGCACTGAAGCAGAAGCTGCTGCTGTCTGCTGGGCGAAAGCAGGGGGAAAAAGGGGAGATGGGGGGGTTGGGGGAGAAGGGGAAGCGGGGGTTGGAGGGGGGGTATGCGGAGACGGATGAGTCGGCTGCAAGGCTGATCTCACAGGATGATGTGTCGGCGGCGTGTGGGGAGAGCGTGCAGCTGAAGGGGTACCAGCTGGTGGGAGTCAACTTCCTGCTGCTGCTGTACCGACAGAAGGTTGGAGGAGGTGAGTGGAGATGCTGCCGAGAGGGAGAAATGTATCGAGTCTTGAGAGGACTTAACTCAAAAAGAGTGTGCAGCTGAAGGGGTACCAGCTGGTGGGGGTCAACTCCCTGCTGCTGCTGTATCGACAGAAGGTTGGGGGAGGTGAGCTGTGGTTTAGAGGGGTAATTTGTGGTGCAAAAAGAAAGTGAATGCTCTTTGAGGCGTGTGGGGAGAGCGTGCAGCTGAAGTGAAGGGGTACCAGCTGGTGGGGGTGAACTTCCTGCTGCTGCTGTACCGGCAAAAGGTCGGAGGAGGTGAGATGTGGTTTAGAGGGGTAATTAGCGGTGCAAAAAGAATGTGAATGGCGTGTGTGGGGAGAGCGTGCAGCTGAAGGGGTACCAGCTGGTGGGAGTAAACTTTCTGCTGCTGCTGTACTGGCAGAAGGTTGGAGGAGGTGAGTTGTGTTTTTTTAAAGTCTGTGGTAAGGAATGTATATCTCGGATATCGTTTTCTGATATTCTGGTGCTCTCCTCCTTCTTTTCCCTTTTCATCGGAGAGCAGTTGGAATTGAGGTCTGACTCTTACTTTTGAGTCGACTCAAAAGTCACCTGAAGTCGGCTCAAAAGTCACCTTGAGTCGACTCAAAAGTCTCCTCCGTCTTTTCCCTTTTGATTGGAGAGCAGTTGTGGAATCGAGGTCTGAATTTCTTAGCTTTGCGTCCTGTTTTTATATTCGTTCACTGATTGTATGCAATAATGTGACTTGAACCTTAATTTCAGTAACTCTGTCTCTTGGTTCGTGTTCAATGTGTGCAGCAATTCTTGCGGACGAAATGGGCCTCGGCAAGACTGTGCAGGTGAATAGCCATCTTAGAACCTCAAACCTTAACCCCAAACCTCAAACCTTAACCCCAAACCTCAAACCGCGAACATTGAACGTTAGGGCCTGTAACCTTTTCACTCTCCATCGTCCGGACAGAGGCCCCGTCCGGACTTTGTAGGGTAACTAGTTTCGCAACACCTCGTTGAGGGCTTCGCGAGACCCCCTGCGACATCGCCACCGTCCGGACCATGTCTGAAACTTTTCTGCCAAAAAATGGACCGGACTACCCTGCTGACACCGTCCGAACGGCATATTGGACCGTCCGTTTTGGTTGCGCTGTCATTGGCGCGCGAATTTGTTTAAAATCTCACCCAGTACCGCGCCGCGGATTTTTGGTGGCGAAACTCACGATGCTCTACGATTGCAGTAATGCGTGTTACATTTTGCGGAGAAACTCAAATTTTCGATAGTGCGAAAAGTTCCACATTTGTGGTCCGGGCGGGCTGTCGTCCGGACCTCAGTCCCAACCGTCCGGACGGAGCTCCGTTCGGGCGATTTGGGGCCTTCGTCCGGACATTTGACAAAAACGGAAAAAGTTACACGCCCTTAGACCTCTTTACAGCCAATGTCCAATCCCTGGGCTTAACATTTTTTTTTTTTGAGGGATTAGCTTTATGTGCTGACAAATCCAGTCATGGCAATACAGTGCAGGTAAACTCTGACCAAAGCCTTATGAGTATGACCCTGAGCTCTTAGCCTTGCAACCTGAACCTTGACCCTGAACATGCCCGTCCCATCCCATCCCATCCCATCCCATCCCATCCCATCCCACCCCACCCCATCCCATCCCATCCCACCCCACCCCACCCCACCCCACCCCACCCCACCCCACCCCACCCCATTCCAAAAACCTTTGCCATTTCTACTTGTTGAACACCACACCACAATCACTAAGTGGAGCTGTGCTGTGCATATCCAGCAGCAACCCCACACAGTCCCATAGCTCTTCGACTTCAAAACCAGTCACGTTAGACATAAAGTATCCATAAAATTCATCCTCATTAGTTGGCCGAATGTGCTTGATTGTGTGTTTGTTTTTTGAGTCAGTCGACTTTGCTGCTTTTTCATTTTTAATCGGCTCATTCCATATGTTGGTGCCCCAACCTTCTCATCCCTTTTTCCATATGTTAGCTCCTGCCTCCCTCCTCGACAACTGGCAGTGCGAGCTGCAGCGCTGGTGCCCGCACCTGTGCGTGGTGCTGTACCATGGGGGGCAGCGGGGCGCGCAGACAGATGTGCTACGTGAGAACCCCAATTCCCAATCCCTGCTCCCCGCCCAACACTCCTCCTTCAGGCGGTGGTGCTGTTGGGGCTTCTCGGTCACTTGGACAACAACCCCGGACCCCATTTAGTGGTGGCCCCTGCCTCGCTCCTCGACAACTGGCAGCGCGAGCTGCAGCTCTGGTGCCCGCAGCTGCGGGTGGTGCTGTATCACGGGGGGCAGAGGGGGGCGCTGCGGGAGCTCTACGGTGGGAAGGGAAAGAAGGGGAAGAAAGGGAAGAAGGAGAAGCGGAGGGAGAGGCGGAGGAAGGGAGAAGGAGGGGGAGGTGAGGGTAGTGGAGGGGAGGGGGAGGAGGAAGAGGAGGAGGAGGAAGGGGAAGGGGGGAAGCTGGGATTTGATGTGTTGCTGACGTGCTACTCGCTGTTTGAGAGGGACAGTGCCGCCCAGAGAGACGACCGGAAGTTTCTGCGCAGGTTCCGGTTCTCGTGTGTTCTGATGGACGAGGCTCACCTGTTGAAGGACAGGAGCAGCCAGCGTGCGATGAAGCTGCGACAGCTGGCACAGGCGGCAGATTACCGGCTCATGCTTACTGGGACTCCCCTGCAGAACGATCTTCAGGTGGGTGAGCAGAGCAGCAGTGAGGATTGTCTTTGAGTTGAATCGAAACACGGTGTGTTGACGGACGAGGCCCACCCACCTGCTCAAGGACAGGAGCAGCCAGCGAGCCATGAAGCTGCGACAGCTGGCACAGGCGGCGGATTACCGGCTCATGCTGACCAGAACGCCCTTTTTGAGGCGCCTCAAAAATGCTGACCAGAACGCCCCTGAGCCATAGAAGGCTCATGCTGACATAGAAGGCCCTGCAGAATGACTTGCAGGTGAGGAATCCTGCAGGTGAGGAATCCTGCAGGTGAGGAATCCTGCATGCTGTGCTTTGGAATGGAGTGGACTCAAATGTCTAGCTGCTGGTGCATGGACGAGGCCCATCTGATGAAGGACAGGAGCAGCCAGCGGGCCATGAAAATTGTGACCGGTGTGATTGTGAACGGTGTGCTGTGGAGTCGACTCAGAACATGATGGTTTAATGGCCCTCTCGCCTAACATTGTGTGCTGTGCACGATATGTTAATGTCAGACGTTTTTTGCCCTCTCGCCACCCCGCCTCTTCCCCACTCGGCAAACTCCCAGGAGCTCTGGTCGCTGCTCGAGTTCCTGATGCCAGCCGTATTCACCGCCCACCAGTGTGACATTGCAGAATACCTGGGCAAGAGGGATCAGCCGTCCCAGAAGGGGGGAGGGGGAGGGCCAGCGGATGAGGGGCTGATAGGGCGCATGAAGGCCATTCTGGGGCCGTTTGTTCTAAGGAGAGTCAAGGCGGACGTTATGAAGCAGCTGGTGGCGAAAGTCCAGAAGGTAAGAATGGGGAGGGGGGAAGGAGGGTATGGATGGGTGTGTAGGAGTGTGTATGGATGGAGGAGGCAGCAACGTGTTGAGAGGGAGGGCGGCCAGCGGATGAGGGGCTGATAGGGCGCATGAAGGCCATTCTGGGGCCGTTTGTTCTAAGGAGAGTCAAGGCGGACGTTATGAAGCAGCTGGTGGCGAAAGTCCAGAAGGTAAGAATGGGGAGGGGGGAAGGAGGGTATGGATGGGTGTGTAGGAGTGTGTATGGATGGAGGAGGCAGCAACGTGTTGAGAGGGAGGGCGGCCAGCGGATGAGGGGCTGATAGGGCGCATGAAGGCCATTCTGGGGCCGTTTGTTCTAAGGAGAGTCAAGGCGGACGTTATGAAGCAGCTGGTGGCGAAAGTCCAGAAGGTAAGAATGGGGAGGGGGGAAGGAGGGTATGGATGGGTGTGTAGGAGTGTGTATGGATGGAGGAGGCAGCAACGTGTTGAGAGGGAGGGCGGCCAGCGGATGAGGGGCTGATAGGGCGCATGAAGGCCATTCTGGGGCCGTTTGTTCTAAGGAGAGTCAAGGCGGACGTTATGAAGCAGCTGGTGGCGAAAGTCCAGAAGGTAAGAATGGGGAGGGGGGAAGGAGGGTATGGATGGGTGTGTAGGAGTGTGTATGGATGGAGGAGGCAGCAACGTGTTGAGAGGGAGGGCGGCCAGCGGATGAGGGGCTGATAGGGCGCATGAAGGCCATTCTGGGGCCGTTTGTTCTAAGGAGAGTCAAGGCGGACGTTATGAAGCAGCTGGTGGCGAAAGTCCAGAAGGTAAGAATGGGGAGGGGGGAAGGAGGGTATGGATGGGTGTGTAGGAGTGTGTATGGATGGAGGAGGCAGCAACGTGTTGAGAGGGAGGGCGGCCAGCGGATGAGGGGCTGATAGGGCGCATGAAGGCCATTCTGGGGCCGTTTGTTCTAAGGAGAGTCAAGGCGGACGTTATGAAGCAGCTGGTGGCGAAAGTCCAGAAGGTAAGAATGGGGAGGGGGGAAGGAGGGTATGGATGGGTGTGTAGGAGTGTGTATGGATGGAGGAGGCAGCAACGTGTTGAGAGGGAGGGCGGCCAGCGGATGAGGGGCTGATAGGGCGCATGAAGGCCATTCTGGGGCCGTTTGTTCTAAGGAGAGTCAAGGCGGACGTTATGAAGCAGCTGGTGGCGAAAGTCCAGAAGGTAAGAATGGGGAGGGGGGAAGGAGGGTATGGATGGGTGTGTAGGAGTGTGTATGGATGGAGGAGGCAGCAACGTGTTGAGAGGGAGGGCGGCCAGCGGATGAGGGGCTGATAGGGCGCATGAAGGCCATTCTGGGGCCGTTTGTTCTAAGGAGAGTCAAGGCGGACGTTATGAAGCAGCTGGTGGCGAAAGTCCAGAAGGTAAGAATGGGGAGGGGGGAAGGAGGGTATGGATGGGTGTGTAGGAGTGTGTATGGATGGAGGAGGCAGCAACGTGTTGAGAGGGAGGGCGGCCAGCGGATGAGGGGCTGATAGGGCGCATGAAGGCCATTCTGGGGCCGTTTGTTCTAAGGAGAGTCAAGGCGGACGTTATGAAGCAGCTGGTGGCGAAAGTCCAGAAGGTAAGAATGGGGAGGGGGGAAGGAGGGTATGGATGGGTGTGTAGGAGTGTGTATGGATGGAGGAGGCAGCAACGTGTTGAGAGGGAGGGCGGCCAGCGGATGAGGGGCTGATAGGGCGCATGAAGGCCATTCTGGGGCCGTTTGTTCTAAGGAGAGTCAAGGCGGACGTTATGAAGCAGCTGGTGGCGAAAGTCCAGAAGGTAAGAATGGGGAGGGGGGAAGGAGGGTATGGATGGGTGTGTAGGAGTGTGTATGGATGGAGGAGGCAGCAACGTGTTGAGAGGGAGGGCGGCCAGCGGATGAGGGGCTGATAGGGCGCATGAAGGCCATTCTGGGGCCGTTTGTTCTAAGGAGAGTCAAGGCGGACGTTATGAAGCAGCTGGTGGCGAAAGTCCAGAAGGTAAGAATGGGGAGGGGGGAAGGAGGGTATGGATGGGTGTGTAGGAGTGTGTATGGATGGAGGAGGCAGCAACGTGTTGAGAGGGAGGGCGGCCAGCGGATGAGGGGCTGATAGGGCGCATGAAGGCCATTCTGGGGCCGTTTGTGCTGCGGCGGGTCAAGGCAGATGTTATGAAGCAGCTGGTGGCGAAAGTCCAGAAGGTAAGAATGGGGAGGGGGGAAGGAGGGTATGGATGGGTGTGTAGGAGTGTGTATGGATGGAGGAGGCAGCAACGTGTTGAGAGGGAGGGCGGCCAGCGGATGAGGGGCTGATAGGGCGCATGAAGGCCATTCTGGGGCCGTTTGTGCTGCGGCGGGTCAAGGCAGATGTTATGAAGCAGCTGGTGGCGAAAGCCCAGAAGGTAAGAATGGGGAGGGGGGAAGGAGGGTATGGATGGGTGTGTAGGAGTGTGTATGGATGGAGGAGGCAGCAACGTGTTGAGAGGGAGGGCGGCCAGCGGATGAGGGGCTGATAGGGCGCATGAAGGCCATTCTGGGGCCGTTTGTTCTAAGGAGAGTCAAGGCGGACGTTATGAAGCAGCTGGTGGCGAAAGTCCAGAAGGTAAGAATGGGGAGGGGGGAAGGAGGGTATGGATGGGTGTGTAGGAGTGTGTATGGATGGAGGAGGCAGCAACGTGTTGAGAGGGAGGGCGGCCAGCGGATGAGGGGCTGATAGGGCGCATGAAGGCCATTCTGGGGCCGTTTGTTCTAAGGAGAGTCAAGGCGGACGTTATGAAGCAGCTGGTGGCGAAAGTCCAGAAGGTAAGAATGGGGAGGGGGGAAGGAGGGTATGGATGGGTGTGTAGGAGTGTGTATGGATGGAGGAGGCAGCAACGTGTTGAGAGGGAGGGCGGCCAGCGGATGAGGGGCTGATAGGGCGCATGAAGGCCATTCTGGGGCCGTTTGTTCTAAGGAGAGTCAAGGCGGACGTTATGAAGCAGCTGGTGGCGAAAGTCCAGAAGGTAAGAATGGGGAGGGGGGAAGGAGGGTATGGATGGGTGTGTAGGAGTGTGTATGGATGGAGGAGGCAGCAACGTGTTGAGAGGGAGGGCGGCCAGCGGATGAGGGGCTGATAGGGCGCATGAAGGCCATTCTGGGGCCGTTTGTTCTAAGGAGAGTCAAGGCGGACGTTATGAAGCAGCTGGTGGCGAAAGTCCAGAAGGTAAGAATGGGGAGGGGGGAAGGAGGGTATGGATGGGTGTGTAGGAGAGTGTATGGATGGAGGAGGCAGCAACGTGTTGAGAGGGAGGGCGGCCAGCGGATGAGGGGCTGATAGGGCGCATGAAGGCCATTCTGGGGCCGTTTGTTCTGCGGCGGGTCAAGGCAGATGTTATGAAGCAGCTGGTGGCAAAGGTCCAGAAGGTAAGAAAGCAGGGAGGAGGGGGAGGGCCAGCGGATGAGGGGCTGATATGGCGCATGAAGGCGATTCTGGGGCCGTTTGTGCTGCGGCGAGTGAAGGCTGATGTGATGAAACAGCTGGTGGCGAAAGTGCAGAAGGTGAGAATAAAATAGGCGGGGTGGGGAAAAGGGGGAGCTATAAATGGGTGTGTAGGTGTGTGGATGGGTGTGTAGCTAGCAGCCAGCAAGGGGCTGTGAGGAAGGGGAGCAGCGGGCGAGGTGAGGGTTGATAGGGGGAAGGAAGGCCAGCGGACTAGGGGCTGATATGGCGCATGAAGGCGATTCTGGGCCCGTTTGTGCTGCGGCGGGTGAAAGCAGATGTGATGAAACAGCTGGTGGCGAAAGTGCAGAAGGTGAGACCCGTGAGTGATGGGGCTCTAGGGGGGCGGACGAGACAAGGGAGGAGGCCCAGCAGATGAGGGGCTGATAGGGCGCATAAAGGCGATCCTGGGGCCATTTGTGCTGCGGTGGGTGAAAGCAAATGTGATGAAACAGCTGTTGTTGAAAGTGCAGAAGGTGAGAAGGGGGGGGGGGAAGGGTATGGATGGGGAGCGGGCGAGGGGATGGAGGAAGGGGGGCCAGCGGACGAGGGGCTGATAGGGCGCATGAACGCCATTCTGGGGCCGTTTGTGCTGCGGCGGGTGAAAGCAGATGTGATGAAACAGCTGGTGGCGAAAGTGCAGAAGGTGAGAGCGTGAGGGATGGGGCTCTAGGGGGGCAGATGAGACAAGGGAGGAGGGGGGGGAGCAGCAGACGAGGGGCTGATAGGGCGCATGAAGGCCATTCTGGGGCCGTTTGTGCTGCGGAGGGTGAAGGGTGATGTGATGAAACAGCTGCTGGCGAAAGTGCAGGAGGTGAGAGTGAGAGGGGTGTGGATGAGTGCGGATTGGACTTGCAATGCTAATCCCCAAGTGGATGGATGGAAGGGCATGTATCCTTCCCTCTCAATCTTCATCCTCATTATTAACAGGTTGAACTACTGCCTATGGAGGGCGAGCAGGCAATGGCATACAATGAGGCTGTGGAGCTGTGAAGAAGGACAGTAGCATGCCAGCGTGTCTCCCCTCTTCTGATTTATCCCCGTTATTTACAGGTCGAGCTACTGCCTATGGAGGGCGAGCAGGCAACAGCATACAATGAGGCTGTGGAGCAGTACAGAAGAGCAGTGGCGGTGAGAGCTGGAGGGGGAGATAGAGAGGGGAAGGCGAAAGAAGAGGGAGAGGGGGGAGGGGAAGGGGAGGGCGGCACGGCTGTTGTGGCAGCGGCAGTGGATGCGATGCCGAGGAGACAGCTGGCAAGCATCTTCACTCACCTGAGAAAGGTATGACTGGGGAAGGTACAGGGGGAGGGGAAAGGGGAGGGGGGAAGATGCACGGCTGCGGTGGCAACTGGTGGAGGTACAACTGGTGGAGGTACAACTGGTGGAGGTACAACTGGTGGAGATGGCGTCAGTGCTGCACAAGAGGGGCGTGTTCGGGGGGGCGTGTTGTCATCTCCTTGTCCCTATTTCCCCATTCCCCGGGCCCCCATAGAGCTTGCCAACCTGGACTAAACACTGAACCTCCATTCTGCCATGCCTGGTGTTGGTGTGCGTTCAGCACGCGGAGGGCCGTTTCTCATCGCCATGTCCCCTTCCCATGGTCTCCTGTCCCCCAACCAGCTCGCCAACCACCCCCTCCTGGTGCGCCGCCTGTTCTCGGACACAGCAGTGGACGAGATGGCGTCAGTTCTTCATAAGAGGGGTGTGTTTGGTGGGGAGTGCACGCGGCAGCGCGTGGAGGAGGAGCTGCGGGGCTACAGCGACTTCATGCTCAACCAGCTGTGTGCCGCTCACAGCGACGCGCTCTCCCGCTTCCTGCTCTCGCGGGAACAATTCTTCCACTCCTGCAGGTAGGTAGGACTGGTGGGGGTGTCAGGTGAGGCTGGTGGGGGTGTCAGGTGGGGCTGGTATGGGGGTGTCAGGTGGGGCTGGTATGGGGGTGTCAGGTGGGGCTGGTATGGGGGTGTCAGGTGGGGCTGGTATGGGGGTGCAAGGGCACGGCTGGTATGGGGGTGCAAGGGCACGGCTGGTATGGGGATGCAAGGGCACGGCTGGTATGGGGGTGCAAGGGCACGGCTGGTATGGGGGTGCAAGGGCACGGCTGGTATGGGGGTGCAAGGGCACGGCTGGTATGGGGGTGCAAGGGCACGGCTGGTATGGGGGTGCAAGGGCACGGCTGGTATGGGGGTGCAAGGGCACGGCTGGTATGGGGGTGCAAGGGCACGGCTGGTATGGGGGTGCAAGGGCACGGCTGGTATGGGGGTGCAAGGGCACGGCTGGTATGGGGGTGCAAGGGCACGGCTGGTATGGGGGTGCAAGGGCACGGCTGGTATGGGGGTGCAAGGGCACGGCTGGTATGGGGGTGCAAGGGCACGGCTGGTATGGGGGTGCAAGGGCACGGCTGGTATGGGGGTGCAAGGGCACGGCTGGTATGGGGGTGCAAGGGCACGGCTGGTATGGGGGTGCAAGGGCACGGCTGGTATGGGGGTGCAAGGGCACGGCTGGTATGGGGGTGCAAGGGCACGGCTGGTATGGGGGTGCAAGGGCACGGCTGGTATGGGGGTGCAAGGGCACGGCTGGTATGGGGGTGCAAGGGCACGGCTGGTATGGGTGTGCAAGGGCACGGCTGGTATGGGGGTGCAAGGGCACGGCTGGTATGGGGGTGCAAGGGCACGGCTGGTATGGGGGTGCAAGGGCACGGCTGGTATGGGGGTGCAAGGGCACGGCTGGTATGGGGGTGCAAGGGCACGGCTGGTATGGGGGTGCAAGGGCACGGCTGGTATGGGGGTGCAAGGGCACGGCTGGTATGGGGGTGCAAGGGCACGGCTTGTATGGGGGTGCAAGGGCACGGCTGGTATGGGGGTGCAAGGGCACGGCTGGTATGGGGGTGCAAGGGCACGGCTGGTATGGGGGTGCAAGGGCACGGCTGGTATGGGGGTGCAAGGGCACGGCTGGTATGGGGGTGCAAGGGCACGGCTGGTATGGGGGTGCAAGGGCACGGCTGGTATGGGGGTGCAAGGGCACGGCTGGTATGGGGGTGCAAGGGCACGGCTGGTATGGGGGTGCAAGGGCACGGCTGGTATGGGGGTGCAAGGGCACGGCTGGTATGGGGGTGCAAGGGCACGGCTGGTATGGGGGTGCAAGGGCACGGCTGGTATGGGGGTGCAAGGGCACGGCTGGTATGGGGGTGCAAGGGCACGGCTGGTATGGGGGTGCAAGGGCACGGCTGGTATGGGGGTGCAAGGGCACGGCTGGTATGGGGGTGCAAGGGCACGGCTGGTATGGGGGTGCAAGGGCACGGCTGGTATGGGGGTGCAAGGGCACGGCTGGTATGGGGGTGCAAGGGCACGGCTGGTATGGGGGTGCAAGGGCACGGCTGGTATGGGGGTGCAAGGGCACGGCTGGTATGGGGGTGCAAGGGCACGGCTGGTATGGGGGTGCAAGGGCACGGCTGGTATGGGGGTGCAAGGGCACGGCTGGTATGGGGGTGCAAGGGCACGGCTGGTATGGGGGTGCAAGGGCACGGCTGGTATGGGGGTGCAAGGGCACGGCTGGTATGGGGGTGCAAGGGCACGGCTGGTATGGGGGTGCAAGGGCACGGCTGGTATGGGGGTGCAAGGGCACGGCTGGTATGGGGGTGCAAGGGCACGGCTGGTATGGGGGTGCAAGGGCACGGCTGGTATGGGGGTGCAAGGGCACGGCTGGTATGGGGGTGCAAGGGCACGGCTGGTATGGGGGTGCAAGGGCACGGCTGGTATGGGGGTGCAAGGGCACGGCTGGTATGGGGGTGCAAGGGCACGGCTGGTATGGGGGTGCAAGGGCACGGCTGGTATGGGGGTGCAAGGGCACGGCTGGTATGGGGGTGCAAGGGCACGGCTGGTATGGGGGTGCAAGGGCACGGCTGGTATGGGGGTGCAAGGGCACGGCTGGTATGGGGGTGCAAGGGCACGGCTGGTATGGGGGTGCAAGGGCACGGCTGGTATGGGGGTGCAAGGGCACGGCTGGTATGGGGGTGCAAGGGCACGGCTGGTATGGGGGTGCAAGGGCACGGCTGGTATGGGGGTGCAAGGGCACGGCTGGTATGGGGGTGCAAGGGCACGGCTGGTATGGGGGTGCAAGGGCACGGCTGGTATGGGGGTGCAAGGGCACGGCTGGTATGGGGGTGCAAGGGCACGGCTGGTATGGGGGTGCAAGGGCACGGCTGGTATGGGGGTGCAAGGGCACGGCTGGTATGGGGGTGCAAGGGCACGGCTGGTATGGGGGTGCAAGGGCACGGCTGGTATGGGGGTGCAAGGGCACGGCTGGTATGGGGGTGCAAGGGCACGGCTGGTATGGGGGTGCAAGGGCACGGCTGGTATGGGGGTGCAAGGGCACGGCTGGTATGGGGGTGCAAGGGCACGGCTGGTATGGGGGTGCAAGGGCACGGCTGGTATGGGGGTGCAAGGGCACGGCTGGTATGGGGGTGCAAGGGCACGGCTGGTATGGGGGTGCAAGGGCACGGCTGGTATGGGGGTGCAAGGGCACGGCTGGTATGGGGGTGCAAGGGCACGGCTGGTATGGGGGTGCAAGGGCACGGCTGGTATGGGGGTGCAAGGGCACGGCTGGTATGGGGGTGCAAGGGCACGGCTGGTATGGGGGTGCAAGGGCACGGCTGGTATGGGGGTGCAAGGGCACGGCTGGTATGGGGGTGCAAGGGCACGGCTGGTATGGGGGTGCAAGGGCACGGCTGGTATGGGGGTGCAAGGGCACGGCTGGTATGGGGGTGCAAGGGCACGGCTGGTATGGGGGTGCAAGGGCACGGCTGGTATGGGGGTGCAAGGGCACGGCTGGTATGGGGGTGCAAGGGCACGGCTGGTATGGGGGTGCAAGGGCACGGCTGGTATGGGGGTGCAAGGGCACGGCTGGTATGGGGGTGCAAGGGCACGGCTGGTATGGGGGTGCAAGGGCACGGCTGGTATGGGGGTGCAAGGGCACGGCTGGTATGGGGGTGCAAGGGCACGGCTGGTATGGGGGTGCAAGGGCACGGCTGGTATGGGGGTGCAAGGGCACGGCTTGTATGGGGGTGCAAGGGCACGGCTGGTATGGGGGTGTCAGGTGGCACGGGGTGATTGGTGAGGCTTCTTTTCGGGGGTGTCCCTCATGCTTCCTGCTCTCCTGTGAGTGAATGCTTCTTCAACTCCTGCAAGTGCCGGGTGGGGCTGCTTTGGGTGAGAGAGCAGCGGGTAAGTGGCGAGGTTTTGTTTGGGGGAGCGGGAGAGGGGGGGGGAAGAGGGGATGATTCTTTTCCTCAGCCAATGGACAATCCTTCTTGTCCATTTCATCTTCCTCTTTATCGGATCCTATTGAGACGTCTCAAAAACACTCTTCTTTCACGTGGCAGTTCCTCAACCAATGAACGATCCTTCCTGTCCGTTTCGTTGGCTAACTGTTCAGGATCCTATTAAGAGGAGCATGTTCGCATTTCATCTTCCTCTTTATCGGATCCTCATCCCTTTATCTTTCCTTCTCCTCGGCACCATCTCATCTCACAGGCTCTCTCGACGCCGCTTCCCCACCTGCGATCCGACGGTCACTGAGTACTGCTGTTCAACCAATGGACGGTCCTCCCTGTCCGTGTCATCTTCTTCCTCATCCAATCCTCCTCGATGTTTTCCTCTCCCTCGCCCCATCCCCCATCACAAGCCCTCTCGTCAGCCAGTGGTCGAACTTCCCTGCTCGTATCATCCTCCCCCTAATCCAATCCTCCTCCTTCAACTTTCCCTCTCCCCTGCCCCATCCCCCATCACAGGCCCTCTCAACACTCCTTCCCAAGCTGAAATCCGATGGTCACCGTGTGCTGCTCTTCAGCCAATGGACGGCTGTGCTCGACATTCTGCAACACGTGATGGGGCTGCTGGGCCTGACCTTCCTTAGACTGGATGGCAGGTGAGTCGTGAAATCCTGGGAATGAGTGGGGTGCAGTGGCGTGCGGCGCGATGGGATGGAGTGGGGTGGGGTGGGATGGGGTGTGATGGGGTGGTTACCACTTGACGGCTGTGCTTGACATCCTTCAGCATATGCTGGGGCTGCTGAGACTGGCCTTCCTTAGACTGGACGGGAGGTGAATCGTGAAACTCAAGGAGGGAGGCGTAGTTGGGTGGGGTGCGGCCGTTGCCACTTGACAGCTGCTTGAACTTAGTTGAGTTTCGAGTTGACTCAAAAGTCAACGCACTTACTCTAAATCAGCACGCAGGTGGTGCAGAGGCGGGGCAGGCGATGGTGGGCGAGGGACAACACTTGCTGGGCCCACCATCGATCTCTCCTCTCCTCCTGCCGCTTTTGAGACGTCTCAAAATTTGAGACATGTTTTGAGACGTCTCAAAACTGGGCCCACCATCGGTCTCTCCTCTCCTCCTGCCGCTTACTCTATATCAGCACACGGCAGGTGCAAAGGCAGGGCAGGGACTAACACGCTGGTGGACGAGGTCCGATGGGGAGCGATGCGTGTTTTTTGAGAATTCTCAAAAAAGAATTCTCAAAAAGCAGGGCAGGGACTAACACGCTGGTGGACGAGGTCCGATGGGGGGCGATGCGTGTTAGTCAGTCTTTGTTCATCCCTTCATGCCACTAGCACATCATTCGTCGTTCGTCCTGCCTACCTGCTCCCCCCCCCACCGTGCAAGAGCACGCAGGTGGTGCAGAGGCAGGGGCCCTGGTGGGCGAGTTCAACCGGGACTCTTTCGGTGTTTGCCATGCTGCATGCTTTCCACTGTGACACGCTGTTCCCACCCCCTCATGAATCCAATTTTTCCCACACAGCACGCAGGTGGTGCAGAGGCAGGCTCTGGTGGACGAGTTCAACCGGGACCCCTCGGTGTTCGCGATGCTGCTTGCCATCATGACACGCTGTTTCCCAACTTCCGAACCTCACTTGAATCATTTCCCCCCCAACCAGCACGCAGGTGGCACAGAGGCAGGCTCTGGTGGACGAGTTCAACCGAGACCCCTTGGTGTTGACCACTCCATGCCGGTACCATGCCCACCTCCTCCCCTTCAATCCATCCATCCCCCCCACACCACCCATCCCCCCTCCCTCCCTCCCAACCAGCACGCAGGTGGCACAGAGGCAAGCCCTGGTGGACGAGTTCAACCGGGACCCCTCGGTGTTGGCCTTGCACCACTCCCTTCATACCACTCCCTTCATACCACAATCACTGCATTCCCTTTCTTCCTTCCTTCCCCCCCCTTACTCACACAGCACGCACGTGGCACAGAGGCAGGCCCTGGTGGACGAGTTCAACCGGGACCCCTCAGTGTGGATCGGTGTTCACCCTTGGTGCCACTGCCACAGCCTGAATCCATTCCTCTTAACTCCTGTCCTCCATCCCCCACACAACCAGCACGCAGGTGGTGCAGAGGCAGGCTCTGGTAGACGAGTTGAACCGGGCAATGTGTGCTGGACCCACCATCACTTATCCCTTTGCTTCCTGCCTCCCCCTACCACCACAATCAGCACGCAGGTGGCACAGAGGCAGGCCCTGGTAGACGAGTTCAACCGGGACCCTTCAGTGTTTGCCATGCTGCTTTCGACCCGGGCAGGCGGACAAGGTTTGAACCTGACCGGGGCAGACACGGTGATTCTGCACGACGTGGATTTTAACCCCCAGATGGACCGCCAGGCGGAGGACAGGTGTCACCGGATCGGGCAGACTCGGCCTGTAACTGTCGTGCGGTGAGTTGTAACTGGCGTGCGGTGAGTTGTAACTGGCGTGCGGTGAGTTGTAACTGGCGTGCAGTGAGTTCTGTCGTGTGGTGAGTTGTAACTGGCATGCAGTGAGTTGTAACTGGCATGCGGTGAGTTGTAACTGTCGCGCGGTGAGTTGTAACTGGCGTGCGGTGAGTTGTAACCGCCGTGTGGTCAGTTGTAACCATTATTCTGAAAGTTGTGACCCTTGTGTTGTCCTTTTCATCTATGTGGTGCGAGTGGTACAGTTATCTGTAATTATCGTTTATGTTTTTCGGGCCTTTTTTGCCCAGTTTGAGCAGGCTGTGTATGTTAAAAGTTATCAAAGTTACCTTCCTGCCACCCTTTCCCCCACAACACCAGACTCGTGACACGTGCCACAGTTGATGAGGGCATTTTGAACATTGCCCAGCGGAAGCTCAGCTTGGATGCTGCTTTGCTAAGTGGTGGTGAAGGGGATAGTACGAACGGGAAGGGGTCTGAGAAAGGAAAAGGAGGCTCAGAGGAAGCCCAGAGCATGGCTGCAATTTTGTCATCAATTCTTGCTTCGAAGTCCTGAATCCTGATTCTTTTCCATGTACCGTATTATTGATTGCATTCTGCATTTTGTATGCTCAGTGAAGAGTGTTCTCGAAAGCAAGTACCACAGTATGAACCGAACCAAATGTTTCACACTGTGCTCCCATGTCCAGCATAAAATCCACCAAGATTGGCGTAGTTCAGTTCATTCCAAATCATGTTTTTTTAGCTTTATTATGTTCTTATCTCGTATTTAAACCAGAAATATCATTAGATCTAACGTAGTACCGTAGGCCATAACAAATATATTGTACCCGCTACTGCCACCGGTGCACACAAGCACCGTTGCACGAGCAAGTGAGACAATCCCCAAACGTCACGAAAGTCCTGCTAACCAGCCGGTCGCATCAAAAGCTCGTGCTCGGCATCGCGACTCCAGAAACATTCCCGAAGCGCAAATTTCACGACATTCCATCCTCGGCATTTCTCATCCTGAGACTTCAGCCTTCCTAGTCATCCTCACCTGTTTGCTTTCGATAACACCACATCGTGCACAGCACACACATACCACACGAGCACGATAGTTACAGCTGGCACCCGCACGTGTAGTCTTACGCGTAGCTTGATAGCTGAACTAGACGGCTTATGATTTTGACGGACGCCCGGCTGTCCAAGCCGGCGTGGCCTTTCCGTGCATATCCACTCGATCCCGCTGCTGTTGGTGGTTATCAAGCCGGATGCGCCTTTCTGTCATATCAATAATATTCCGCCCCATACCACGCATTCCCTACGCCCCTAGTCGTACTCCGCTTTCTGTGGTTTAAATCGTCTCCATTCCGCATACATACGTCCCACGCCATTGCAAAGTGTGTGTTTTGATTCTACTCACGACGGACCGCTAATATTTCTTTCCCCGATCCCGGTCCCACTCGCGCTGGTATGGCTACTCGAAGCGCATCACGTGCTCTCCCTCTCCTCCTCTTCGCGACGGCTCTCGTCGTCCTCGTCGCCTCTCACGGCGCGAGTGCCGGCAAGGTGGTGAAACCGCCGCTCATGCCGGGGCAGATACTGCGCAAGTGCGGGTGGTCCAGCTTGGGCGACTACACGTCATCGTTCGTCATGTACCCTGAGTGAGTGGCCTTCCCGTTGACTTTTGTTGACTCAGAATCCATTTGTGCCGCGCCAGATCCTGCGCAAGTGCGGGTGGTCTAGCTTGGGCGATTACACGTCATCGTTCGTCATGTACCCCGAGTGAGTGGCCTTTCTCGTCTATCCCAAGTAAGTGCCTTTCCCGTTGACTTTTGAGTCGACTCAAAGGCCGCTCGTGCCCGGGCAGATCCTGCGAAATCCGGGTGGTCCAGCATGGACGAGTGCCCCGATTACACGTCATCATTCCTCATGCGCCCCGAGCGAGTGGCCGTCGCACGTCGTCCGTAAAATTGAGACAGGCACAGATTGCTCTTCCTCCCACTTGTCCCGCTCCACCCCGCCCACTCACTCCCACAACCTTCCTCAACAACCTGTCTCGCCATAAAGCCCCATCGCTCGACATCCCCACCAGCCCCCACCATCCCCGACCCTTCCCCTTCCACTCCCCGCCCTTCCCCTTCCACTCCCCGCAGCTTGCATCTGCATTGGAGAGTGGTCGACAGCAACACGGTCAAATTTGCGCTCCACATGAGCAAGGGCATCGAAACAGGCAAGGGGTGGTTCGGCGTGGGTTTTTCGAGCAACGGCAAGATGAACGGCGATGCGATCATCGCGGAGAGCATGCGCGCCGGCGCGCCCAAGCTGCTGACGCTCGCCGGCCACAGCAGCAGGAGCGACGCGACTGGGTGGACGCCGGCTGGACTGAAGATCATCAAAAACCCCGCGGGTACCACCATCGAGTGAGTACTAGAAAGAACCATCGAATGAGTACTAAAAATAATGAGAACCACTGAAGCAACATCTCAAGAAGCGCAATAACAATAACTTCCAAGACTTGCGCGAGTAGCACCTTCGACGTGACAGTTCCGGACTGACACGCAGCGCCGTAGTCGCAAAGCCATCGACGCATCCGGCTGGAGGGTTATGTTCGCTAGTAACTCTTCGTTAATCCGGTTACCCTGTTCTGTTCGTGCGCAGGTTCACTCGCACCGCGTCGGATGGCGGGAGGAGGCGCTGAACCCCTCAACTTACAACTACGTCACGTGGGCCTTCGCTAACTCTTCTGTAACCCGGTTACCCCTTTTCTTTAGCCCGCAGGTTCACTCACACCGCATCAGATGGCAGGGAGGTGGCGCTGAACCCCTCAACTTACAACTACGTCACGTGGGCCTTCGCTAACTCTTCTGTAACTCGGTTACCCTATTTCTTTTGCCCGCAGGTTCACTCGCACCACGTCAGACGGCGGGGAGGTGGCGCTGAACCCCTCGGGCAACAACTACATCACGTGGGCGTTCGGCAAGACCACGTGGTCGAAGGCCAAAGGACACGTCTACGCGTACGTGCGAAACCCATTCGAACCCCATGCAAATGGTTGCAAATCTCCGAATCTTTCCTAAGTATGAGAAATGCCATGCGAGTCAAACGTGCATCCTACCTTGTATCAATGTACACAAGGCCAAATCATATCGGGAACAAGGTGGTTCTTCTTGCCTGCCTACTTCCCTCCCTATGCCCCCTTCCCCCCTTCGTCTGCTCAACCTCTCCGGTACTACCCTCAATCACCCGGCTCCAACCCCCACTCCCTCCCCCCACGCGTAGCGCCACGCGGTGATAATCCTTTCTTGAAACGGCTCCGCGGTCATTCTTCTCGAGAGCTCAAATCTTTCTCCCCGTTCCCCCCATCCCCTTCTCTTCTCTCGCTTCCTCCGCCCCCCCACATCCCCCCGACGCACAGCGGCCATGCGGTGATCGACCACTCATGACGACTTTTGAGGAGCCTCAAAAGTCGTCCCTCGCGGATTTTTTAGGCGCCTTAAAACTCTTCTCGCGCTTCCTCCGCCCCCCCACTACCCCCACGCACAGCGGCCATGCGGTGATCGACCTCTCATGCAACGGCTGCGCGGGCACCTTCGTCCCAGACGTCTCAATCTCTTCTCTCCCCTCCCCGCATCACCGTCTTCCCTTCTTCCCCGTCCCCCCTTCCTCCCCCCCACGCGCACTGGCTACGCGGTGTTCGGCCTCTCATGCAACGGCTGCGCCGGCACATTCGTTCTAGACGTCTCAATCCCTTCTCTCTGCTCCCCGCATCACCGTCTCTCCTTCCCCGTCCCCCCTTCCTCCCTCCCCCTCACGCGCAGCGGCCACGCGGTGATCGACCTCTCATGCAATGGCTGCGCAGGCACATTCCGCAAGGCGCTCTGCAAGGTCTTCTGAACACATATGCACGGCGCACAGCTTCTTGTTAGGCCTTCTGGAGAGATAGTACGGACTGGACTGCTGGGGAATCTGCGCACCCGTGAAACCAGTCCTGATTTGTTACATAGAACACTAGCAAATTTAGGTGCATAAACTGTTCACTGTATGGACCTGTTATATATGCAGCCTTATTTGATAGATATCCAGTCCTGGGCATGTGGAGCAAGCAGATTGACCACGAACATGCACTAGCCGTATTTGTAAGAGCACGAGCTCAATAGGAGCTGTGTACAACGTGTTCGTATCATAAATCGGATCGTACTTGTTAGACGCAAGCGTTGTAATAACACCCCCGCTGGACGATTTGGGCCTTTTATCCATGTTGGACAAACATCAATACATTTAGTACCACTGGTCTGGCATTTCGTTCAATGTTTACGTAAGGCGAAAATGTCTCAATTGAGCATTTTATGAGGATAATGATGTCGTATCATTGTTGCATAATGTGTAGAAGCCATCGCCATCACGAGAACCGTTGCATCACCTGCTGCCACTGCCCCGCGCATGGCTTTCCTTAGGCAGCAGCAAATTTACACACGCACATCACACTTCATGGAAGTCTCGCTGATCAACAAATCACATCAAATGCTCGTGCTCAGCATCGCGACTCGACAGATTTTTCCGAGGCGCGCATTTCACGACATTTCATCCTCGGCATTTCTCATCCTGACATTTCAGCCTTCACAAGTTTGTCCTCACCTTTTCACTTTTCACCCCCCCCGAGCATGATCCTGATGCGGTGCGCCTGGCTCGCTGCCGCACAAGGTGCAAAGTGGGAGAATGGAGTCGGGGTTTGGCGTGTCTTACTGCCGGTAGCATCGCTCAGCCCTCTCAGCACATGGTGGACGCGCTGCGAGCGAAACACCCATCGAGCGAGACCGCCATTCCGGAGTGGTTGCAGGAGGAGATAGTTGAGCCTTCCCTTATCCCGCAGCTCTCAGTGGAGGTACTTGGTCAGGCGATCCACTCTGCGGCTAGGGCGTCGGCACCAGGACCGTCGGGGTGGGTGACGGAGCACCTGCGCGACACTTTTCTCTCTGAGCCCGCATACCTGCCTCACCTGCTAGGAGTCTTCACCCAGTGGACCAAGGGAGAGGTAGCGGAGCGCGTGCGACCCTGGCTCACTGCGTCCAACCTTGTGGGCCTGTCGAAGCCGAATGGTGACGTTCGCCCGGTGGCTATAGGCGAGGTGCTCCCCCGCATACTATCTCGGGCCCTATGCATCGTGCTTCGGCCGAAGATGATGTCGCACTTTGCGTCGTGTAACCAGCTAGGAGTCGGATCCAGGTCGGGAGTGGAAGTCCTCGCACATGCCTTTCGTTCTGCCATCTCTACTCACCCGTCATGGTGCGCGCTTCAAATTGACGTGGCGAATGCTTTCAACTCCTTCCATCGGCGGGAAATGTTTGAAGGACTTCGACAGTCGCCTTTTGCGGGTTTGATCCCATTCCTGCGTGTCTTCTACGGCACTCCTAGCGACCTCTACCTCCGTGCGGGCCCCTTCGTCGAAGCTTTGGCTTCAGAGCGAGGATCGAGGCAAGGGGACCCATTGGGGCCGTTTCTGTTCGCGTTCACACAGCAGCTGGTTATGGAGCCCACCAAACAAGAATTTGCCGACCTACTCTTTCTCAGCTACGCCGACGATACGTACATCTTGGGGCCTAGGGAGCGGGTGCTAGCAGCTTATGAGGTCTTGCGGGAACGACTGGGCGGGCTTGGTCTGGAGGTGCAGCCGCATAAGTGCAAGCTTTGGGAGCGAGGGGTGGACCAGGAGGGAGAGGAGAGGAACGAGACCGTCCCGCCCGGCATGCAGCAAACATGGACGGGGCTCACCGTAGTGGGGGTTCCTATTGGGGAGGAGGAGTGGGAGGTGGCCAGCTTGCGAGGCCGGCTGATGCAGCTGCATGCACCTGTCCCTTGGCTTCCTTTGCTCGACCACCCACAGATTGCGTCCCATCTGCTGGCGATCGCAGTGTCAGCGCGCCCGATTTACCTCACAAGGACGATGCCTCCACGGCCTGAGGTTGTGGAGGCTTTCCGCGACTGGGACACGAAGCTTGAGGATTGTTTTGAGCAGCTGTTTCCAGATAGCACCTGGGATCATGATTCGGCAAGGTCGCAGATGGCCCGTCTACAGCTGCACCTTCCAGCCAGACTTGGAGGGTTTGGCATTCGATCTGCAGCTGACCTTAGCCCTCTGTCGTACGCATGTGGTTGGTGCCATGCAGTGAGCGATGTGGCTCGGATGGGGGTGGCAGGGGAGGAGCGGATGTTTGAGGAGTTTTTCCGCACGCCCGAGGCTACGACCTTGCTGGATCCTTGGTTTGCGAGAGCAGTGGAGCTGCTACCACAGTCGGTCAGGCAGGAGATGCCACCCCTAGCCTTATGCACCGCTGACCCCCCTGTGCTGCTTTTCCCCACACAACACCGTCGCCTAGCGGTTGAGAGTCTGCAGACTCTTCGGGGTATGGCCCACGACGACGCCACCCTGGCCCGTTTGACATCCCTTCAGGGCCCGGGGGCAGGGGCGTGGGTCTCCGCCGTCCCTTCGCACGAAGAGGCTACCTTCACCGCAGCCGAGTGGAGCATCTGTGCGTCCATGCGCCTAGGCCTCCCCATACAGCAGCTGATAGTCGCCGGCAAGTGCGCGTGTGGGTTTGAGTTTGCTGATCCCTCTGACCCGCATCATGCCCTTCGCTGCAAGTACCAGTACGCACCTTCTCGTGTTCACGACGCGGTTAAGTTTGTGGTGGCGAAGATAGCTAAAGGGGCGGGTGGGGTCGTGACCATGGAAGACGACACGTTGCTGTCAGGGAAGAGGGTGGATGTGGCGGTGCGGAGACTGAGGGAGGGGGAGGAGCATGCGCTGGAGGTTAGTGTGGTGGACCCTATCTCATTGTCCGCGCAGCACCATGGACAGATTGGTCGCAAGGTGGGTTTTGCCGCTAGAGAGAGGGAAAAGCGGAAGGCGGCGGACTACAAATTGCTTCTGCAGCGACATAGGGGAGTGCAGTTTACACCTCTCATTGCTGAGACATGGGGTTGCCTGGGGGGGAGTTTTGGGCGGTGGCTTAAGAAACAGGGCGACGCGCAGATTGAGGTAGCGAAGACGAAAGGGGCGGCGAGAGCTACGGGGAAAGGTTTCTCGGCTTACTTGCTTGGATCACTTAAAGCGGCCATAGGTGTGGCTTTGCAGCGGGCTCAGGCGCGTGTGATCTTGTTGCGCGCGGCGTCGATGATGAGAGGCCCAGAGGCTGTTTCGGTGGAGCGGGAGGATTTTGAGGAGGAGATGGGATGGGATGCTCCGTGGGCGGATGCGCCCTATTTGGTGGACATGCGGGTTTAGAGGGTGGGTTTAGGTGAGGGGGGTGGGGGGTTTGGTTAGATGGGGCGTATTGTTGGGGTGTCTCGTTGGGGTGTCTCGTTGGGGTGTCTCGTTGGGGGTATCTCGTTGGGGTGTCTTTTGGGGTTCCGTACGTGCTGTTCTACTGGGGTGTTCTTGAGGCTGAGCAATTTTAACATCGGTCACCTCACCTCACGCGTTATGTTTCGTCCAGTGTTATGAATGAACTTGCAGAGTGCGCAGTAAAAAAAAAAAAAAATGACAACGAGGCATCGTGCACTGCACGAACACACCACAGGGCACGGAAGTTACAGCTGGCACTAGCACGTGAGTATCGTCCAGTCGGACGAGTTACCTGATAGCTGAACGAGACGTCGCCGTTAGACGGCTTATAATTTTGGCGGGCGCGCCCGCCGTCCATGTCGGCGTGGCATTTCAACGCATTATCAACCGACCCCGCTGCGCCTCTCCTGCCACAGTCATCTATTAGAACCACTCTTCTCTACGCCCCCATCACACACTCCGTTTACCGTACCATTCCGCACACATTCGACCACGCCTTCGAAATCGCCAACCGACACTAGCTTCGCTGTGTTTTGATTCTACTCACGACGCGAATAGTAAACGCCTCTCGCCAGAGTGTCTCGACGGCCTACTTGTTCTCACGCCCACTCTCCGTCTTCCGAGCCTGCTCCCGCTTCTGGTCCGGTATGGCTCCTCGAAGCGCATCACGCGCTCTGCCTCTCTTCCTCTTCGCGACGGCTCTCGTCGTCCTCGCCGCCTCTCACGGCGCGAGTGCCGGGAAGGTGGTGAAAAAACCCTTCGTGCCGGGCCAGATACTGCGCAAGTGCGGATGGTCCAGCTTGGGCGACTACACGTCATCGTTCCTCGTCTATCCCAAGTAAGTTCCTTTCCCGTTTACTTTTGTTCACTCAGAAACCCTTCGTGCCGGGCCAGATACTGCGCAAGTGTGGATGGTACAGCCTGGGCGACTACACGTCGTCGTTCCTCGTCTACCCCAAGTTAGTGCCTTTCCTCGTCCAGAATGTGCAAAGACGTGTCTCCTCTCCACGGCTCAATCCACACACAAGCATCCACAAGCAACGCTCTTGACGTTTCAATAATCTCTTGCGGAGTGCTTCCCGTGCTTCCCACCTCTTCTCTCTCCTCCCCTTTCCCACCATCCTCTCCTTCCCGTGCCATCCCCATCCACTCCCCCCCGACCCTACTACCAGCGTGCATCTGCATTGGAGGAAGGTCGACAGCGACACGATCAAATTCGCGTTTCACATGACCAAGGGCCCCGGGACGGGCAACGGGTGGTTCGGCGTCGGATTTTCCAAGGACGGCAAGATGAACGGCGATGCGATCATCGCGGAGAGCATGAAATCCGGCGCGCCCAAGCTGCTGACACTCGACGGCCACAGCAGCGCGACTGACGCGACTGGGTGGGCGCCGACCGGCCTGAAGATCATCAAGACACCCTCGGGTACCACCATCGAGTAAGTACCACTGGCACGGATATTACCACCATCAAGTAAGCATCCCGTACAAGCAAGACTGGCACGGATACAACCGTCGAGTAAGTCATAGAAAGAAGCGCCGTTGCTGCAGTGCAATCGGCGCGTCTGGTTGGAATTGAAGTGTTACCAACTCTTCTGTAATCCAGTTACCCTGTTTCGTTCGCGCGCTGGTTTACTCGCACCACGTCGGACGTCGGAAAGGTGCCGCTAAATCCCTCGGGTAACAACTACATCACGTAGGCCCTCGTTAATGTTGGTGCAACCCTACGGTTTGCACTCGGCTTGTTGTCCGTGTGCGTGAATGTGTGTGTGTATGGAATGGTATGAGGGCATGGGATAATATATATTTCATGCTTATAATTGTGTGTGAATGTTGAGTCATGATGTCGAGTGTGTGTGTCGAGTCAATAGCGAGTTATCGCTAGACGCGTGTTACGCGGTCGTTTGTGTCTCGCGCGCGGTTTCTATTTTGTCGTGCGCGGTTTCTATTTTGTCCTGTGTCGAACGTTCGGCGTGTCGCAGGTGTGTGCAGCAGACCCATCAAGAACTCAAGGATGAGTTTGTGATGAAGAGCCCGAGCCTTGGTGTCAAGCCTCAAGTGATTTCGAAGCTCGCCAAAAAGGGTACACCTCAAGATATTGAAGATATTTACATTACTTTGTGTAGTGTAACATTTCACTTGGTGTAGGCCCTAGTGAAGGGTAGTTTCGAGACCCTTCGTGGTTGGGGACAGTGTGGCACTGTTCCACATCACTGTACCTCGGCTCTTGGGGTTTGTAGGAGCTGGGAGTCATTCCCAACTCGTAACTCTTCCTATCTTGTGTTCTAAGACTATAGTGGCTGCCATAGTACCGTTCGTTCAAACCGACGCCGTGTCGTCAATTCTTTATCAAATCGTGCAATCTAAATTGCTAATTGTAGACGACGTGAAGACGCTCCAGATCCAATTTGAATCAAGTCATTTGCAGCTGTGAGCAGAACGCTATCAACGTTTGAAGCCGCTGTGCAGAAATCCGTCTGTGCTCTCTATCTTTCGTTTTAGGCACATTCAAGCCTATTGTGACTATAACAGTTAACCGTCTGTAATCCGGTTACCCTCTTTCGTATTCGCGCAGGTTCACTCGCACCACGTCGGACGGCGGAGAGGTGGCGCTGAACCCCTCGGGCAACAACTACATCACGTGGGCCTTCGCGAAGACCACGTGGTCGGGATCCACCCGCCACGCCTACTCGTACGTACACCCCTTGCAAGCTGATGGAAAAAATCAGAAGCCAAAATCTCTGGGTTGATGGATATCAGCATTTTCTGAAGTTCCAGGCTATACTAGACTGCGGTTCCTTACCACCTTGTCTACAATTCCACAATCTTCTCCTCCCTTTCGCCGCTCTGCTCCACTTGCCCCTTCTCCCCACCCCTCTCCTCTCCTCTTCAAGTTGCTTCCCTCCCCCCTCATTCCTCCCCCCACTCGCAGCGGCCATGCGGTGGTCGACCTCTCCTGCAATGGCTGCTGGGACACCTTCCTTTTAGAAACCTCAAATCTTTACCATCGCTCCCCACATCCCCTTCTCCCTTCCTCTCCCCCCCAACCACGCCCTCCCCCACTCGCAGCGGTCATGCGGTGGTGGACCTCTCCTGCAATGGCTGCTCGGGCGTTGTCCGCAAGGTGCTCTGCCAGACGTTTAATTAGACCGTTCAGGCGTTGATAGCTGCTCTGCAGCAAGGCTTAGTTCTTGAAGAACAGGGTTTAGGAAGAACAACAGCTGCACAGTTTCGTTCCGGGCGTAGTTCTTATACTAAAACAGGCCTTTGTGTCATTCACAGCTTTTGACAACGGCTTGACATGTGTGTTAATGACTGGTACTTCACAAAGCAGACTAAGAAGACTGGCTCGTGAGAGAATTGCTCCAGTGCCTTGTTTGGTGATTCGCTCTTGCCCACGTGTCCCCGAATTGCTCGAGTGGCCATCCAATTCAGTGATAATTGCTCGAGTGGCCATGCCAGGGCATTTTCGAGGTGTTTTTTTTCCCTGGCACATAGCCCTACAAGGGTTCGTACCCACGAAATTCCTCGTTCGCACAACAGTAGATGCGCGGTCATTTTCGGCCCAATGCGCGACCAATGAGCGCGTGGGCAATTACATCAGCGATCATAAACTGCAACGCCAGAGCAGAAATGCACGAACATATTATTGACCGCGCACGATTGGTCGATAATATGCTTCTTGCCCTTTTTGGCAATGCGCGTCCAATCACGCACGGTCATATAATTCACGGCCATATATTTAGGCGATAAAGGGTCGCACAGCAACCAATATAAGCGCGCATATACTACCATTAGTTCTACCATATGTTCGGTCCATATAAAACCATGTATATCAAATGCCATAAATATATGCTCTGCTATTAATTTAAGCCCATCATACTAGACATAATATTTTATCGTGGCCTATCATAATATTAATTTAAGCCCATCATACCGTGGTCCATAATATTGTATTGCCGGTAATATGGTTGCAGAAATAATATGTTGGGCAGCATAATATTAATTTAAGCCCAATATAATATGCTGCCACCACGGTTATGATGGGCTTAAATTAATAGCAGAGAATGTATTTATGGCATTTGATATACATGGTTTTATATGGACCAAAAATATGATAGAACTAATGGTAGTATATGCGCGCTCATATTCGTTGTTGGGCGACCCTTTATCGCCTAAATATATGGTCGTGAATTATATGACCGTGCGTGATTGAACGCGCATTGCCAAAAAGGGCAAGAAGCATATTATCGACCAATCGTTCGCGGTCAATAATATGTTCGTGCATTTCTGCTCTGGCGTTGCAGTTTATGATCGCTGATGTAATTGCCCACGCGCTCATTGGTCGCGCATTGGGCCGAAAATGACCGCGCATCTACTGTTGTGTGAACGAGGAATTTCGGGGGTACGAACCCTTGTAGGGCTATGTGCCAGGGAAAAAAAACACCTCGAAAAAGCCCTGGCATGGCCACTCGAGCAATTATCACTGAATTGGATGGCCACTCGAGCAATTCGGGGACACGTGGGCAAGAGCGAATCACCAAACAAGGCACTGGAGCAATTCTCTCCTGGCTCGTTTTGCCCCTGGTGATGGTGACTCTTGACTTCTGTCCACCTTGGGCTCTTCTGTAGGAATAGTAAGAGCGTGTTCCTACGGGGCCCTTGTCAAACAACCTCTAGTCAGGCTCGCCCCAATCACACATTTCTCAGTGTAAGGCGAATTCGTATTTGACGCTTTTTTAGTCTTGCAAATCTGCGTGAAAAAATCTAGCCTGGGTGATGTGGCACGTGGACCACGAAGAGCTTTCCTGTACTGCCCGAACATCGGGGCAAGGGAGCTCAGTTTGAGAAAAAAACGTCAGGTTCTGAATTTCACATTGTGGCATCCCAGAGAATCGTGAACAAATCGCTGGTGCCACAGTACAAATGTTGCCCGCTGAAAAACAAAACTGTAGCCCCATTCTCGACAAAACAGGACTGTGTCTGCACATGTTCATCGCAGGGTCTCGGTGTGGTTTGCTGATGTGGCGCGATTGAAAAGGTTTCACGTGCGCGGATTCTTATCGCGCAATACAAGTCTGAAATTCGTAATAACTAAAATCTCGAGTTTGCACAAATCTGATATGGGGTAGCCTGAGAAGAGGCCGTAGGAACACGCTCTAAGAATACCACAAAACCTAAACTAAAAACCTTAAAACGTGGCATTAATCTGCACCACAACTACATTACATCTGTTACGGGGTACTATACTGTTCAATGGAATTTACCCTAAACCGTCCCCCAACCTCATCCCAACCTTATCTTCAACCAATCCTTCAAGGATTTCCAAGATTTACAAGCCGCCACGTGGCACTCGGCTTTCTTTGCATTCCGTTTCCTAGTCCCACAAACTACTTTCCGACAATCGATCTTGCATGCTATATCAACCTTGCTTGTATCTTAACTCAGTTACTTCTTTGTCAAAACATATTTGCATATTCCTAGTTCTACTAGGCCACAGTGAGGTGCTCAGTATAGGGCACAATCCCAGTTATGGTTTCATACTTGTATCTCCCTGTTGCTAGTCATTCATCATTCATGTTTTCCTATCTCAACATGGTATTAGAGCATGATCGTTCCTAGTGTTGGAAACAATTGATTTAAGCGCCTCTGTCGTGTCGAAACACCAAGTCAGAAGCGAAGCGAAACATATCGAAGCATCAGCGAGTCAACCCTCGGAGATTGAACAACTGCTGGAGGTTACGCGAAAGTCAAAGGTCAGCGACCTTTGACCTGACAAATACAGCGCGACAGCAAGGACAAACAACCGACTCGCTACTGAGCAGTTGCCCGAGTCGACACTGTATCGAACCGCAACAGCAACAGTAAAACGGTTATTAACCGTATCTCTTCATATTCCTTGTATCCTTATAAAAGCTTGTATCTCTTTGCTTTAATCAATCAACTTTGCCCTCACATACCAGCGCAAGGTGGTTCACAAGCCTTTTATTAAACGCTTCCGCTATTACATTGTCCTACCCTGAATTTAGTCCTGCAAAGATCCTAAGGGCTTTTCTCAGCCCAACACCTAGGGCCCACCGAACGTTCCGCCCTGCCCTGCCCGTAATTTTTTTCTGCCCTGCCCTGCAGCCCGCGAGCCGCGCTGCCCTACCTTTAGGCCCACGCACCACCTTGCCCTGTAGCCCGCGTTTGCCCCTGCAGCCCGCGCTCGCCCCTGCAGCCCGCGCTCGCCCCTGCAACCCGCGCTCGCCCCTGCAGCCGCGCTCGCCACTACAGCCCGCGCTCGCCCCTGCAGCCTGCGCTCGCCCCTGCAGCCGCGCTCGCCCCTGTAGCCCGTGCTCGCCCCCGCAGCGGCGCCCCCTGCAGCTCGCGCTCGCCCCTGCAGCCGAGCTCGCCCCTGCAGCCGCGCTCGCCCCTGCAGCCGCGCTCGCCCCTGCAGCCCGCACTCGCCCCTGCAGCCTGCGCTCGCCCCTGCAGCAGCGCTCGCCCTTGCAGCCGCGCTCGCCCCTGCAGCCGTGCTCGCCCCTGCAGCCCGCGCGCTCCCCAGCCCTGCAGCCCGCGCGCCTCTGCTTCCCTGCGCCCTGCGTGCGCCCTGCAGCCCGTGCTGACCTATGGTTGCGCAAGCTGCACAGCCCGCTGCCGCATACCTCGCTCACACCCCTGCATATTTTGCACAGATCCCACCCATGGCAGCCGCACAGCAACCCATGCAGCATTCATTCGACCCGATCCCCACCCAACCAAATCCAGCAGGGGCGCAACCCGGGCCAGCAGCATCGTTCCAAGCCCCAGCACCACAAGCGGCGTATCAGGCACACGCTACACACTACGCAGCCCCAACGTACTACAACCCACCAGCTCCCCCCGCCCCTCCACAGCAGGTCTCTCAAGCACCCCAGCCCCCACAGCAACCAGGTCCCATGGGGCAAGGGCAATCTCAAGGAGGCGGACTCCTGTACCCCCCAGGTTTCTCAATCCCTCTCAACATCCCCAGACATTTTTTAGTATGATAGTCCCACCCACCCCATCGCAGGGCAGCCAACATTCAACGTGGACAGCGAGACACGTACCCAAAAACATCACAAATCGGAGGTATGCACCCAACTCTCCACACTCCTGTCACTCGCGCACAAACCCACCAAGCACACACTCAGAGAGAGCGACACCACGCAACCCTGAAAATTTCCAGCGAAGTGCCGCTAGCACCCAACAGACAGCACCACTCACTTCTCCCTCGCTGCCCCACGATGCACCCACTCAGTGTCCCACACACGCCCCCACAGTCCACCAAGACGATAACCCGCGAGCCACAATCCCAAGAGGCCTCAAACCAAACCGCTCGAGACCAAGAAAAACGAGCACTACATCACATCTACGTCTGGCACAAAAGCGATTGCTTCGTAGCAGCATGCTCACGATTCAAGACAACATGGGCTCGAAATTCATACATAACAAATCCGCTCGCAAGCTGTCGTCTATGGAGGTAGACGGCCTAAGCCAAGGCCTAGCATTCATCCCAACGCCTGTTGCACCCACAGAATAAAACATCAAGGTTGCGCTCGCACGTTTTTCGAGAAGTGTGAGACTGACATCACACTTCAAACCGTGCAAGCCAATGCCACGCCTCTGTATTCGAAATCCGGGTTACCAGCCAAATCGTGCCTCAATTGATGTTGAAAGCTACATCACAGA